AAAAAATTTAATGAAATAAAATGGAAGAACGACCAATGTGACATATTGATTGATTTGAGAATGTATAAATTCGATTGATTAAAATGACGGGAAGAATTGTCAGAAAATTAGTTCATTAAATTAGACAATCAATTCAGCTGTTTCCTTCTTCTTCTTTTATTCTAAACAAAAGTGGAAACGAAATTTTCGATTTATTTTACTTTAACTAAATGATACATTCTGTTCTGTTCTCAAGTTTACTTGCATCGCACTTAACATGCACTAAATCTGCATGCTTTTTGTATGTCACGTGGTATGGTGTGCAAATTCCCACATTCCATCTATCCTTTACTAAACTTTGATAACAGTGACATTTAAAAAATGTTTCCATTATGCAACATCATATCAAGTGTAAATTTCAACTTAATGATTGGTCTTCCACTTTTTTTTGTTTTGAAGAAAGTTAAAAAAGGAAATGATGTGTAATGAAATGAAATCATCATCTGATAATACACTTCTTTCTCCATTTTATCCTCCAACCTTTCGCTTTTTTTATATTTTTTATATAAATTGCAGTTTAACAACAAATACAATTCCGGAAGAATGATTCGTCAATTAACAATTGACAATATAAAATTGTTTGTAGGGAAAGAATTGGACAATCTTATCATCTTTCCTTGTACTCTTTGTTTTCTGATTCATTTGAAGCAAACGTTCTATGCCATGATTACTATCTATATATAGAGAGATTTTCGAAAAATCATTAAACGATCAAAAATCGCCAATCAATTAAGCTTTATAAATCAATTTTAGCCAAAAATATGAAGAAATATATTTTATCACACTCTTTCCAATGACAATCATCATTTCAGATGCTTGCATATGTGCAATTTGATAAAATTATAAGTGATATTTCTACGATGACATAAATGCTATCGAAAGCTACAAAGAGGAAATTTATGGTTAAATTAAAAAGAAAAAAAAAACGAACTTCTTTTTCGTCGTATTCTGATTTGACTGTTGCATGCAATGATGGTGGCGTTGGTATTTTTGGATTTTTCTCGATAGGAAATGATGAAATTTGTTCAACTGCTCCTTCTTTTCGTTTTCGTTGATAATGGCGTCGTTTCACAGAACTCCTGACAGCTTCCACGTCAGTATCCGTTGTCACTATATTGTCACTTTTTGATATCGACTGATCAATATCACCAATCTTACCCATGCGTGTATGGATTTTAGTTGTTGATAAATTGTGCTCATTGTCAGTCATTTAAGGGATAGTTTACTATTTTGATTAATTACGCTTTTATTCTTATCTGCAATGCAGGAAAGTCTTTTTTAGATTAAATTTTTACGTGATGAAATTAGCATAATATCGCAGTGATGAAATTAGCATAATATATGATAATATCCGATCACAAATATTACATAAAACCATTAAGGGCGCTTATCAAATGAATGTGCAGCCAGTCGGAAATATACAACGTCAACGCAAATCACTCTTCCACTTCTGGAAATTTAATTGACAAATGCTACAACTTCTTCATCCGAAATAATGCACTCTCTGTTATCATTAGCTGATGACGTCAAAAAACACAGTGTTTCAATTAAATGAGCTAAAAGTTCATTTTGAAAGCATTTATGCATCTTTTCCATTTTCCTATTCCGATTTCTTCTTAAATGTAACTTCAAGTTTTCCCGATATGAGAATATAATCTTTTTTTTATATTTTTATCGTTACTTAGCGAGTAGTAATTTATCAATGCTATTTGTTTATTTCTGAATAAATATATTAATTACTGGAAACAAAAATCTCAAGTAAGCAGTTGAAATGAATTTTGTATACTATTGATGGAATTAATAGGAAAGAGAACATGGGGTGGAAAAAAGCGGACAGAGAAGGGAAGAATAAAATGAACAATTACCGCTCAGGCTTACGAATAATATTATTGTTATGAAGTTTTATAAAGCATTTCATATGAGTATTAGCAGCAGCTATTTGGGTAGTAGCATATTTCTCTACTCTCGAATTCCGCTCACAAAAAAGCATTTTGGGAGATTAAAAGATAAAAAGAGAGTAGGAGACGACCAATACGATGGTATTGTTAGAGGTGTCGTGGTGACACACATTTGCACACATACACACACACACACACACACACACACACACACACACACACACACAACACATTATTACCATTGGTTGTTCGACTCTTCACGAGAAATATAAATTGAGAGTGTAGTGAATGGAATGGAGAGGGGAAGGGGAAATGATGCAAAAATTCGATATCTTTTTTTTTTTTTCAACGGTATTAAAAAGAAGGGAGAAAATAGCTTAGAAACAAAAGGGTTCAGTGGAACATATAGCATATGTAGTAATGGTGACAATCGATGACAATGAAAATCATTATTGTTATCTGTTAGCATCACGTCAATATTCTTTACTAAAAGTGAAATAAGCGTATCAGAAAGAGTGATTTTTTATATGTTAAGGCTTCTAAGGCTTTACAGTTATCAAAATTGATAATATTGGGATGAATGTTTGTTAAAAGTTAAAGTGAAATATAATAGTATTGTGAAATGAATAACTAACAACCACGGATATGATCAAATGAGCTGAAAGCTAAAATGAATGAATGGAAAAAAAAGGACAAATTTCAAATAGTCTTCAATTGATTGCATGAGAAATTGTTGTCCAAAATAAAAGTTTGTGAAAAATGTGCTAACTATTTCCATTTACTATTTTTATTCTCTGTTTTTCCATTTTCTTTCGTTTCTCTTTTAATTCTTAATGATTTGAAAGAAATATTTTAAAGCAATTTCAATTTAAATATAATAAGCGAACGAATGGATAGCATAGTAAGAGAACTCATCAAGCTTTAAAACTGGAACATGGAACATTTTACTGAATGAAAAATATAGCAGCGAAGAGAAATAACAATTCTACTCGTTATGATTATGGAATATTTGATATAGGCTTCAGTCAAATACAAAATATAAATGCTATATGGAAAATTAGCTTCAATTTCTGGTCAAATAAAATCCTTCGATATTTTGATATGTATTACTCTTACTTCCTTCTATAAACATCATTAATAATTATAATAAGAATTATTCAAAAAAAAGTGATAACAAAAACGATGCATCGAATACGGTTTAAATAAGACTTTCTCAAAAATTTTACATCGAATTCAACCATTAGCAGTTCGAATTGTCTCACTTTAATCTCTGATCATATGGTTAGACATTTTCAAAAGGCTTATTTCCGAGACAATGGTTCCATTAGTATGTTAGCGCTAAAAGCAGCCAAGCATAGTTTGGCCAGAATTGGTCAGATTTTTTCCTTTTATAAAAGATCGAAAATCACTTGTTATACAGATATGAAGTGTAGGGGCCAATTTTCATATTGAAGATAAAGATAAATTATTTTTAAGAACCTTTTTTGAGCTAAGAATAGAAATTTCCTCAATAAGCGAGTAACTGATAGGATGTGTCGTTTCGAACAAATCGATCAGAATCTTTTCCTCTTCTTTTCCTCCTTCCAAATTGTCAACAGAGAGGAACAGAAAGAATCAAATAATGGATAAAAGATTTGAAAAGTGAAATAAGAAATGAAACACAAAATTATTTGAAGTAAAAATTAGCATCTGTTCTGTTTCATCTTTCATATTTCCTTTATTTCAAACAAAAGTTGGCAATTTTTTGCTTGAAAATGCTAAAAAAAAAAGTCTTACTTTTAATAATAGGCTAAGCCAATTTCCCAATTTTTGGATAGCAACGAAAACTGCCACAAAAACTGAACAGAAATTTGTTTGGAAATAACTGAATGGAAGAATGAAAGAAAAGAAGAGAAAACGATCCCTTTTATAAGCATACACGCAAACAAAACAAAAAAGAGAAGAAAAAAGTGATAGAATTAGCAAAGAAAGAAACGAAAACAGAACTTACCAACTGATAATAATATTTGCAGAAAAAGAGAAAATTGAATGGGAAATGTGATTATATCTCGAAAAATTTTGATTAGATGAGAAAACGAGTCAACTGCATCATTATTACTGTCACTGATAACATTTCGATTATCATTAAATGATTCGAATTCCGTTCAAAATGAACTATTATTATCAATTGATCTAAGAATCTGTTAGGTAATAAATATACTCGATTATCACTCGAACTTTAGAAATGTTTAGTTGTTATCTCTTACTATCAGGTGCAATATTTGATGGAAAATGGAAAAGGTATGATGACAGAAATACATATAAAAATTGAGGAACTCAGTCGCAATCATTGTCGCTATCGTTGTTATCGTCGCTGCAGCTGTCATCATTATAGCCGTCGTCGTCTTCGCCTGTCATTAATATTACGGCTCGAGTATGGGCTGCTACTTCTGCTTCTGTTACCGCCGCTGCTGCTGCTGCTGCTATTGCCGCTTTGCTGCTATCATCGAAGACCGATGAGACGAATGTTTGAAGAGACAATGAATTTCAATTCAAACAACGGGAAAACAACTACAAACTGAGACACACACACACACACACACACACACACGCACACACACATACATACAAGGCGTAGTGCACCCTAACACACATGAAACACACACACACATCTGTTACACACCTCCCTTACATCTCGTGGCACACACACACACACACACACACACCCATACCTATGAGTGAGATGAAGAAATAGAAGTGAACGTTTGGAGAGTTAAAATAAGCTTGAAAGGATGAAAAGATTATGGCATGAGATTGGCTTAAAAAACATGTCGTCTCACAATAGGTCACGTCAAGTCACGTCACAACTAATTTCCTTCCCTATCTCCCATTCCTGCTTTTAAAAACGAACTGAAGAACAACTTTTTCTCTTCCCATTATCAGCTACACCCTTTTCAGACACCCATCCTCCTGTATATTACATTTTTGGCTACAAACAATACAGTTTGTTAAATTCCTTCTCTCTCTCTCTCTCTCTCTCTCTCTTCCCTTCATCATTCTCTCTCTCCCTCTCTCTCCATTTCTTTCTTTTAATTCCCTAAAAATCCTGAATACATATGGAATATTTGAATAGATGTACAGGCTGCCAACATTGCATAGTATACGCCGCTTACGGATCGTTGCGCAGCATGGTGTCATTTACAGATGCCGGAACATACCGGAATCTTGCTGATTGCAAGTAATCAGGAATACCGTGAAAAATGGAATGTAGATATTACATCACAGTTGATTGATTACATCTTCAACATACTGTTTACACACAATAGTGAAATGACAGGCAAAGGTAATGAAATAGAGCAGAAGATGAAATGATTAACAGGAATTAACAGTAATGGATTAATTGAAATAAAAACCGGAATACAAATTAATCAGTATGTAATAGCGCATAATCATGAATAGCTATTCAATTAGACTAATAAAATTTATGTCACCAATGGGGAAACTTTTGTAGCAATTAAAATGATGTGTAAAGAAATTATCGAAGTAGCAATCAATAAAATGGGCACGTTTAGCATAAAAAAATTAAATGAACTTTATGAAATTATTAAAAGTTGTTTATTTGTCTTTCTTTTGATTTCAAAATTCTAATTCTCATTTATACGCTAATCATTTTATTTGACTTTTTCAAAAATTTCTGAAAGACTAATAAAAAATAAGATAGGATTTCGTAATAAAAAATTAGTATGATTAAAATATTATAATTTAAAATATCATAAAAATCGTAATCACTATAATTTGTAAGCAATTTCTCAATATAGAATAACGTGAATTACATCACATGCTTTCTTTTTTCTCATAAAATTGCACACAAATTTGCAGTTTGATACGATACGTGAGGTATACGTCAAATAAAGTAGCAAATAAATAAATAATTATCCATCAACATCGTTTTGACAATGTTAAACTAAAGAAATTTACAATGTCTCCGAAAATTTTGTCAATTGTAACCGGTTGAGGAACAGTTTATTAGAAATGATAAATACAGAATGAAAGATCGATGTACTTGTTGCATATAAGACTAATGTGTTATTATCAAATGGACTAATTGATTTTTTGGAAAGTGATTTGTTGAAATGAAAAAAAAAAAACTGTAAATAGGAAAATTGTAACCGAGTGGAATTAATGAAGTTGAATTGTTAACGCTGCTTGTGTGGTTGAAAATAAATGAATGGTTGATGAAGTTGGCGCAACTGTTCAAATCGATCTTGTCAAAGCTCAGTTTGATATGTCACCGGTCCAACAACTGAGGTGCATTCTTCACCACCAACTGTTG